AGGGTGGCAGACTGTGGTGACACACACTCTCAGCCTCCCCACACCACCTCTGTGCCGGCGAGCTGAGCTCCGACCAGCCCAAGGAAAGGGAGGGTGAACAGCTGAGCCCTCCCACTACCGAAGTCCCATCCCCCTAGCATCCACTGACTACATCCACTGGGAAGAGGAAATAGTAGACAGAGGTGACATAGAGACAATCAAGACAGAAGCCAAACCACAGGGGCCATACGGCAGCCACCCTCATCCTCACCACAACTGATGCCGACCTCCTGGAGGAGTCCTGGTGACTGGACCACTGCCCATGACAAGTGCATCTTATTAACCTACAACAGGCCACAGCGGGAGGGCTGGAGATGGCTCAGGGGTGTAGAATACCCATTGCTCTTGTAGAGGACCTGAGTTTCGTTCCCAGTACCCACACCAGGAGGCTGACAACTGGCCATAACTCGAGCTCCAGTGGATCTGATGCTCTCTTTCAGCTTCTGTGGGCACCTGCACTCATGTACACACACACACACACACACACACACACACACACACTTTAAAAAAAAATCTTCAAAATAAGAAAACCGAGACAGAACAAAGTCACAGCCAGACAAAGCACCATCTGCGGTCCTAGCCCAGGCTGGGCTCTTCCGCTTTCCCAAAGCCTGTTCAGCCAGGTCTGCCGGGAAGCATAACAAGTGAGAAAGGTTCCCGGGGTCTCTGTGGCTATTACACATAAGCCACTGCCCATCTCACACGGGCAAGTGTCTCTGGCACATTCTGGAAACAAACACAGCACGCAGATATTCCTCAGCACGTCTGTCTAATCCAGCTCTGCTACAGGCCATGACATGCTTCCCTTTGCAGCCTTCATAGCAGGGACAAATGAGAAGCCCTCACTGGAGAGAGTCAAAACGCAAAGGAACACAAGAGACTTTGCTTTTGGTTTGGGTCTTGCTCCGTAGTCCAGGCTCAAACCTGCAATCCTCCTCTTTCTTACTACAATTACAGGTATGAATCACCGACTATATCTGGCTCAGAAATGAGTTTTATGACCATGAACAAACACGGCTAAGGTACACTGCATCTTTCCCGGAGGGGAAGGCCACCCCGAGAGATGCATCACAGGCAGCCTATGCCCTAGTCAGCAATGCATAGGAACTTCAAGGGAAGGGTCCTGGGGAAGGACAGTGCCAGTGCTGCAAGGGTTGTGATCTGACCAAGCTAGGAAAGGAGACTTTGCTTCAGCAGGGATGGACTCAGCAGAGAACCAGGAGCAGGCATCTTGAGTGTGGGTATAAATAAATGGGCAGGACACAAGGTAAGATACTCCATACTCCAAACCCTACAGAGTCCATACTAGACTGTGGAGGAATGGCATGGTCAGAGATGTAGGATAGAGTCTGGCTGGGGACTGGGAATCCAGGGCCAAGATGAGGCACAAAAAAGATGACTGTCAAGCCCGGCAGTGGTGGTGCACACCTTTAACCCCAGCACTCGGGAGGCAGAGGCAGGGGGATCTCTGTGAGTTCGAGGCCAGCCTGGGCTACAGAGTGAGTTCCAGGATAGGCTCCAAAGCTACACAGAGAAACCCTGGGGGGGGGGGGTGGAGAGGCTGTCCCTTGCACCAAGTAGGTTAGGAACAGTGAGGAGGGAGAAGTCACCTCTACTCCAGGGGCTTCACAGAGCTACTGAGGTAGAGGAAATGGACTTAAAACATATCCAGAAAAGGCCAGTGGGGGGGGGGGGGGAGGCAGGGACAGAGAGGGCAGGGTAAACAAAGGCATGAGGAGGAGGGGACAAGTGTCTGGGTGAGGAGGACAGGCAGCTTGCCCATGGCACACTGTGTGAAGGGTGACAGGGAAGAAGTGGCGGGAGGTAGCTCAGGACCAGCCCCCAGGTGCTACCACAGCTAAGGTTTCAGATCACTCTGGCCCTTGCCTGAGGCAGTGGGGAGATGGCTGAAGGGTTAAATGATGGATAGTCCCAAAAGCATCTTGCCTTTCTTTTTCTTTCTTTTTTTTTTTTAAATTTAAAGTTGGTGCTACCAGGTGGCCGCGGCCTCCCATTGCCTGGCTTTGTCCTTTTCTGACTAAAGTGTGAGCGACAGAATGCATCCCTATTTGCTGTATGATACCTTGACATCCATTTCCATGTCAAGGTCCGTCCCAGTGCTGAACTTGGCCGGGTATCATGTCTCAGAGGAGGACATGGCACTAAGGAGGATGTGCAGGGACTCTAGCAGGACCCACGTATGTTATGGCCAGAAGAGAAACAGAAACCCAAAGGACAAAAGCCAGACTTGCTCCTCTGCAACAGTCGGGGAGCCCCCCACCCCCACCCCCACCCCCACCCCTCTGGCACACTTACTTTGAGTTTTAAGTTTCACAGTGGCTGGGGAGCCTACACTGAACAAGGTCAACAGCTTCCTACAGAGAGAACAACTATAAACCATAAAAACCAGTGGGAGTTCCTTTCTGTGTGTGGGACTCAAGATACAACCGTCCACTGAAGAAGTTTGTAAGGCCTGGTCCCTGAGTCTCCTGCGTCTGCCATCTGACTCACACCACTATTTGTTATCTTCTGACCCCACAGAGGTCCCAACAGGTGGAAGGCAAGCCCCTGATGTTGGTACTACACTGGAATAAAGCAGGAGGCAGGAAGAAAAACAAAGAATTTATTAGTAAAGTACCAGCCACCAGCCGGAGGCAAGAGGCGGGAAGGACAGAGGGAAAGACGCAAATGGAGGCAATAACAGCTAATATTTACTAAGGGTTAGCCACACAGGTGCTCCGCAGCCTGGAGAGGAAACACTGACTCCTTCTTTCTTGGAGGTGTCAAGGGCTTACGTGGCCTGCCCAGGATCACTGACTGGGAAATGGCTCTCCAGGCATGAATGAGGCTTACTCCCAGCCCTGGAGGCCAGGCTTTGAGAAACACCCCAGGAAGAGGCTAAATGGCCTCATAAAGTGCTACTGTGACCCAGCAGGAGGGCACTAAACTCGGAGTCTGGGGTGGGGTTTAGGGGCAGCCCGCTGTTGTTTGTGACCAGTATGTGTCTTTGCTGGTTATTCCTTCTCTCCAGTCTCTCAGCTGAGACCAGAGCAGAAAGCTCCCTCCCCGCCCTCGAGGGTCTAGGCAAGCCCCGGTGAACGGGGAAGGGAAGCACAACATGACTTTTTTGCTTTTCTTCAACGCTGGAGCTCAGAGATAAGGCACTTGAATGCTTGGCAGGCATTCTACCACTGAGCTACACCCCAACTCCTAAAAATGATTCTTTTCCTGCTACTAAGGCACAAGTGGGGAAAAAGAGAAAGGAGTTCCTGGTATCCCAGGGAGAGGAGGAGGAAGTAGAGAGGGGGCTGATTTAGGGTTGTTTTCGCCAAAGTGTGATTCACAGAACACTCATCACTGGAGATGATTCTTGGAAAACAGCTCTGTCTAGGCCGGCTAGCTCAGGAAAGCTTCCAGGGTCACAGTGTACCCGGGCATGGAAAGCTCCGTAACAATGAGATCTGCCTTCTCACATATTTAGGAACCCCTGTACTAGATTATCAGGGAACAGCCTTCTCTCCTTCCTCTAAAATTCCAAAGCATTGGACTGTCATCATCCAATCATATTTGAGGCCGGGGGTTGGGGGCGGGGGTTGAGACAGGGTTTCTTTGTGTAGCCCTGGCAGTCCTGGAACTCACTCTGTAGACCAGGCTGGCCTTGAACTCAGAGATCCACCTGCCTCTGCCTCCCAAGCTCTGGGATCAAAGGTGTGCACCACCACTGCATGGCTCACAGCTTTTTTTAATTGTTAACAAAGTGCTTCAGAGCAAAGTCTCACCTGCCTAAAGTGGACTGGGAGCTTCAGGATGGCAGAATCTTACACTTCTTTGGAACTTCCCTATAGTAACTGAGGCAACACCACGCCACAGGAGCTCTTAGCTAGAAGGGCAAACAACTATCCCAGCTTCCCTGAAGAAACATAAAGCCCTTGACTTTGATGGAAGCAGGAAACAGCAATCTTACTACCTCAAGCAGGCTCAAAGTTGATCTTGAAACAAAAGGGGCCAACTGTCTTTTCAAACACATTTCAATGAAATCTGGCACACAGATAACTCAGACCTGTGAACGCACCTAAGAGATTACAGTATAAACATGAATTTAAGTATTGGGGATAAAGCCGGGCAGTGACAGCACATGCCTTTAATCCCAGCACTCGGGAGGCAGAGGCAGTGGGATCTCTGTGAGTTTGAGCCCAGCCTGGTCTACAGAGTGAGATCCAGGACAGCCAGGGCTCCATAGTGAGACCCTGCCTCAAAAGAACCTTAAAAAAAGGTTCTTAGGTCTGTCTGAGTCTCCAGGTTCTGGTGATAAGGCAGGAAAGTCTTGGCATTCATGTCCTAAGCAGATGAGAGCCTGACACACACGAGCTGATGTGCAGTGGGAAGCTCAGCCTCAGCCACATCACTCTCTGAGGCTCTTGAATAGGAAGTTCCCAGACTTTTCACCCATGGTTGGCTGTAGACACATACAGCCTCAACTTGGTATATGGTCTCTTATGGATGCCCCAGAAGAAAGATACTGTCCAGTTGGGTCAATTTCAAAGTTGTCCAAAAACCTGACACAAAAATGGATTTTTGTTTTTGGATTTTTTTTTTTTTTGTAGAGTAGGAAGAAAAATACACAGTTACCTTAAAATGATAAATAATCAGTGTTTCACTTTGTGATAATTGGACACGGTCCTTTTTTTTTTTTTTTTTTTTCCATTTTTGCTGGAAGGTTACTTCCAACACCCTTCCTATTTCCCACGGCTAACAGAGTTGTTATCAATAAGCAAGCATACCATTTGGCGCTCAGCTCACTGCACTGTTTAAATAAGGGCAGCAGCAGTAGCAGGCAGGGTGGGGACTTCACTGTAAAATGTCACACTGTCTATGAAATCACTCCCTTCCCTTAGTACTGACTGTGCATGCACTCGTGTACCCAGGTTCTACCTCCCTCGTCCCATCTTCCCAAACCTCACCTGGTTGATGACGTAGATGCCATAGTCCAGTTGCTGGCGCTGTAGGACCGGGTGCAAATAATACAGCCAGTATTTGAGGTGCTCCTGCCGGTTGCGGAATGGGATAATGATGGCCACCTTGTGAGGAGAAACACAGTCCTTGGGGGAGTAACGACCGCCCATCTTTATCTCTGGGTTCTTCTTTGCCAAAAGCTCCAGATCCACAATAATATTAAATTCAATCGCCATGGGGCCAACTAGAGAGGTAGAAGGAAGAAGTTAGCCAGCGGCAGGGCCCACCACACCCCAGACTGCATCAGCTGACCAGACCACAGCTACAGAGACAGCTCCTCCTGGAGGAAGGAGGACAGAAAGGGCATCCATGCCCACCGCGGATGCAACTAATCACCTCAGGAAACCCCTCGTTCCAGGAGCTCCTAGAGCTGGGCAAACCCAGACCATCAGTTACCCATGGAACACTCTGTGCCCAAGAGACTCTCTCCCCCTCAGGGTGCACTGGAAAATGGAGTCCTGCTCTGACTACTAATGACTGCTGCTGTAGAGACTGGTGAGCACAGAGGAGGAAGCACCTTCTCACAAGTCTTGAGCTTGAGGTAGCTCTGCCACCTGCCACCTGTGTCGTTATAGACAAAGGATTACTATGGCTCTTTCTACACTTAATCTAAGCAGGATGTGGTGGTGCGTGCCTTTAGTCCCAGACACAGAGAGGCAGAGGCAGGCCAATCTCTGAGTATGAAGTCAACCTGGTCTACAAATCTAGTTCCAGGCCAGCCAGGGCCACACAGAGAAACCCTGTCTCAGAAAATAAATAAATAAATAAAACCTAACTAGACCAAAAAAAACAAAATCTAACTAGAGAAAAGAAAGGAGGGTGTGGTGTGTGGGGCTCACGCTGAAGACAGTGAGGAGGGGGAGGAATTCAGCGGAGAAGGATGGAGGGAATGAGACCCCAGAAGAAGAGGGGAACCAAAAGGACATTCAGAAAGAACATCAAAAAAGAAAAGAAAAACAACAACAAAAACCCTCCAGGCTATGGTGGCACATGCCTTTAATCCCAGCAACCTGTGAGTTCAAGGCCAACCTGGTCTACAGAGCAAGTTCCAGGACAGCCAGAGCTACACAGAGAAGCTCTGTCTCAGAGAGAGAGAGAGAGAGAGAGAGAGAGAGAGAGAGAGAGAGAGAGAGAGAGAGAGACAGAGAGACAGAGAGACAGAGAGAGACAGAGAGAGACAGAGAGAGAGAGAGAACACTGCCTAATAGTGGCTGATAAAGTATATGAACCAAGCCGGGCGGTGGTGGCGCACGCCTTTAATCCCAGCACTCGGGAGGCAGAGTCAGGCGGATCTCTGTGAGTTCGAGGCCAGCCTGGGCTACCAAGTGAGTTCCAGGAGAGGTGCAAAGCTACACAGAGAAACCCTGTCTCAAAAAACCAAAAAAAAAAAAAAAAAAGTATATGAACCAAGAAGGCAAGGTCTGGATGGCTCCAGAGTTTCTGTCCTCGGTCAGAGAAATGGGCCAGTAAGAAAGTGCTTGGCTTCGAGGGAAAGGCAGACAGTCGGTTCTGACATGGTGGCCAGGAACAGAGGGAAGAAAGGAGCCCATGGAGTGCACCAAGTGGTCCAGGCTCACACAGGGACTCAGAGAGATGCAGGACCGCAAGCCCAGGCTCACAGTGCTCAGTGGAGAACTAACTGCCCGGGACAAGCCAGGACGGGAGCCGCACCCAAGCACTGAAAACACTGTGCTGTGGAGAAACCCCTTGCAGTTCACTAACTCACCATTTCCTAAATCCACCTCACTACTGAACTAAGGCTGTCACTGGGGGAACGGCCATTCGTTTCACATCTGAAACTAACTAGGCACCAGAACACAGGGGGAAGCCTCTACGGGAGGGATACTAACAGACCAGCACCTGAAATCCTGGAGTGGGAACCACTGCTCCTGTCCACCGCTGTGCAGGCCCCAGTCTGTCCTGTTTATTAAAAAACAACGTCGTAGCTCGCATGCCCAGAGAGCATTTGCCCTCCTCAATCTTCCTCTAGCAAAGGAAGCCGTGAGCTGCTCCCCGTGCCCGGTAAACGCTTCTGGACAGCTGCCACCTCCTCTCCCTTTCCTGGGAACCTCCTCAATCTTATCTCTCTGTCCTTCATCACAGGACCTGTTTCCATTAGTTCATCTTCTTCTGAGACACAGCTCTAATCTTATCACCTTCATGGTGAAAGCTGTATGGGCTTACACAAAATGAGGCCCAGCGCTTTGGCTAGGCCACAAGGCCTACCGCTCAGCTGTCCCCCCATCTTGGTGCCTATTTCCTTAGCCTTTCCTACTCTCCGTGAACCAAATAACTCTTGCACTGACAGGCAGGGCCTCAGCAGAACTTCATCTCTTGACGACCACAGAGCTCAGTCAAGAAGGGGAGCCTCAAACTCAGAAAAGCTGTGCCTCGAATCTGGGCTATGACCTCCCTTTTGGAGGCCAGGGGTCTTGCAGAACCAGTTTTTAACAATATTGCTGCTGTCCCAGTTCTGACCTCCCAAGATGCCCTGAGGTGGGAGCAGGCACTCTGTTCTAGGGCTAGGTTAGTGGTCACCTTGTACAATCCACCTCAATCCTATCAGCAGAATGTCCTGGGGTAACTGGCACCAACACACAATCTCGGTTCAACTCAGCTGACCTTGGGAGGGCCAGAAGTGGATAATTAACAAAAAGCCCAGTAGATTTTGGTTTAAATGTGTCTGTATGCTGTGTACATATGTGTTCCTATGGGTGTGTAAGATGTGTGGAGGCCAGAGTCAACATTATCCACCCCCCTAACCCCCCCACCCCCGATTGCTTTCCACCTTAATTTTTGAGACAGAGTCCCTCACTGAACTTGGAGCTCATTGATTGAGCCAGGCTGAGTTCTAGGGATGGGCTTGTCTCCATTCCTGCTCCCTGCCCCTGTAGCACGGGGGCTACAGACAGATGCTGCCAAGCCTAGGTACTGGGGATCCGAACCCAGGTCCTCAGGCTTGCAGCAAGTGCTGTACTGACTGGGCCATCTCCCCAGTCCCCAAATAGTAATTATTGGGCAAAGTGGACAACAGAGAGCTTGATGGCCAATTTTCACAAGCCTTGAAACTTTCTAGCAAAGAAGGTCCCTAGAGATCCCCACTCTCCCACAAGACCTACTAGGTTTAGAGGTTCAGCTCTCCAATCCTAGAACAAGACCTCTGAGAGATCTCAAGGTACAGGGAACTCATGACCCATCACTGGGTTCTTCTTCCTTCAGGGGGCCCCACACCATCTGTTCCCTACACTACCCTTTGGTTCTAGAGATACTGAAAAACATAACCCTATTTACAAGAACCCAAGAGGCAGCTGGGCTGCCTTCCTACCAGCTTGCTTACACTTTCTGAAACCAACCCAGAAGACAGGAGTTCACATGTGGTCTGCCAAGCCTCCCCAAGGGTACACCTGCAAGGTGAAGTGTCACGTGTTGCCCCTGCGGAAAGATGCTGAGGTCAAGAGCCCCAAATAAGACAGGGGATTCCCAGATGCCAGTGCAGCTGCATCAGTGATTTACTGGGTGATCCTCGGACAATTTCCATCTACTCTCAGGGCACCTATTTTCCCATCCATAAACTGCAACAATTGGACTAGATGAACGCTAAGGTCTCACAAACACCTGACAGGCTCAGAGTGCTGGTTAAAACTAGGAAGAACAGACCCCAAGCTAGGATCTCCTGAAAATCCTTATTCTCACCTTCCTTGATCCCAAGCAGAAAGGAAGAAATGAATGCATGCCTGGATGGGGAGAGGAGGCAGGAGGAAGCCTTAGTTACCACACACCATGACCCCTCATGTCCGCTACCTCACCACCCAAGCTTTCTCAGCCTCTCTCCTTGATAACAATCGCTCCCCCTTCCCCTCGGGTCTCTGATTTAAACAACGACCATCCCCCAAATTCTGTCTCTATTCCCCAGCTTTCTGCTGGCTCCCCAGGTGCCACAGACACCTTAATCAACCTACCCCAAATAACACTTACGCCTGCTACCCTTCAGCAGTTACCTACCCTCTAACGTGTTCTCCTCCAGGGCTCCCCTGGCCACGACACTGCTGTCCATGCAGTCGGGGAGCTGACATGTGCAGTCCATCTTCCATTCCCTCCTCTTCCTACCCAACTCCAACACTCTCTATCCCTGTTTCTGTTGGCTTCTGTCGCAGACTTGCGCACGCACGCACGCACGCACGCACAGAGGTATGAACAGCATGCTGACCGAGGCCCTGGGAGCCTACCAAGAAGGAAACCAGCCTTTATCCTGAAGTGTTTGCATTACACAAACTCTCCTTGTGATAAGACACGACCATTTTTTCAATTTGTGTCAGTCAGTGCTTTCTGGGTACCAACCGAGTGCGAATCTGTATGCCAGCCCAAGAAGGGTAAGTTGAGGGAACTAGAGAAAGAGGCCAGACAAGAATGTTCCCACCTCCCAGAAGCTCCCTACTGGGTATATACTAAATATAACTGAAAACTGCCCTGGTTTCCAGCTGCCCAAGGCATGTGCTCTTCCAATGGCTCCACACAGCTTGGCCACGGCTCAGCCTTTCTTCACCCTCCAGCTCTCCCCTCTGTAGCACTCTCACGGCCCACCATGCCTCCAATACATTGAGAGCACCTCACCCCCACGCCGATTACCGCATGGCAATTCTTTCCCCCTCCACCTCTCTGACACCCCCACATTCTGGGAGTCCTGCAGCTCACACCTCTAGAGTGAGGAACACACAGCAGCACCAGGCCCAGAGGTGCTTCTCTGGGCCTTCTTGGCGCCCGTGTCAGCCAGGAAGCCGCACCTTCTGCTGCACCCTAGGCCTAGCCTCCACTGCACACCCAGCTCGACCTCAAAATCCGAGGAGCTGGACTCCAGGCAGGCAAGGACTGACACCATTCACATACACACGCCTCTGCAAGCAGTTCTCAGGACCACTGAGACACAGGAAGAGGAACACGAGGCAGCCAAAGCCTGAGAACTTCATGAGAATCCTCAGGCTGGGCCAAGGCCCCCTTGCTGCGTGGCGCATGGCATGAGCTTCCACAGGCTCTCAGCCCCGCTGGGCTGGCTTGTGTATTTTCTTGGCTCCGAAAGCTGGGAGGCAGGGTTACGTAAGCAGATGAGATGCGAGCTGTCCTCAGCTCCCCAGGCCTGAGCACTGCCACGTGGGCCTCGCGGCTGGGAGTCCAGGTCATGGCCTTTTG